GTGTAAAGCAAACTTTCAAAAGGCAGGGGACACCTTACTTTTTAAGGCCCTTGGTCAAGGGGGAGGCAAGGGGCAAGGTCAGTGTTGGGAACAGCAGCTGAAGCCTGCCAGTTTTTTGTTTGTTTGTTTGTTTGGAAGGGAGGCACTGGGGGTAGAGGGGCTATGAAGAAGCTCAGAAGGGCTGCAGCTGGGCTGGGAGGAAGAAGCTGAGAGAGACATAAGGTCAGTGTGGGGCTCAGCCAGGCCAAGTGCTGAGGCTGTCTTCTCTTAATCCCCACCAGCAGGGACACAACACAACACAGCCTTGTTCCTAGCCTTAAAAAAGATTCATCCTGGAGAATTAGCCACTTCTTGCCATTCCTCACCTTTCAGTCCCTAAGAGAATCCAGCATGGCAACAGGTAAGGTAAAAGATGGAGACAGCTGACACCACCAGTAGGGGTTAGAGAGGAAGAAGAAACAAGACAGTGGCAGCTGGGAAGGCTATGGGGGTTTGAGCCCCTTCCTTTCACCAGTTCCCTCCCTTCCCATCCTCGTACCTTGAGTGGTCCACACAGAGTGAACCCTAAGGCCAGGGTAGCTCTGGCTGGGGGAGCCAAGGAGGCTACCCCTTTCCCTCAAAGTGGCACAGAAGGCTCCCACACTGGCTTCCTCCTTGCCACCCAATAGCAGATCAGCAGTCCTGGGGCCCCATGAAAGCCTGTGAAATGGTACTTCCTCTGCCTTTGCTCATTTCTCATGAGGCTGTACACAACAAATGCCACCCTCCCAATCTTGCCTCCCTACCTGAAAATACCCAGAGAGACCCTGGGCCGCCCTGTCCCTCCAGCCCTGCCCCAGGCTAGAGGGGATTTCCACAAGAGAAAAAAAACATCAAGGAGGAAACTCCGGCATCTATTTTCCACTGTTAGTGGGGCAGAGCTGGAGCAGGGGACAGGGTGCTCCCCGACCTTGCAGCCTCCTGGCAAAATCCCCAACACTCCCTGCTCTCTTCTAGAAGCTGTCAACCTATGACAACCCTTGTGTTTTGGGGAAATGGACAACAGTCCTTACTCCTGAACAAAAACTTACAGTGAGTACTCAGGACTGTTAGAGGCACTGCTGTGACAACCCTCCTGGGGGAGGAAGGCTCAGAGTACTAGAGGTGATATACAACTCCCTAATGTTGAAACTGAGCCTAGAGAGAATAAATTGACCAGGGATATACTGAGAGTTGGTCAGAGACAAGGATGTGGGTCTCTTAACCTCTAGCCTTATGTCACTTCCACAAAGGAGAGGAGGTAGGGATTGTTCCCACTTGGGAATGGGCCCACCATTTCTCTGTCTTCATTTACAATGACCCTACTATAGTTTATCCCTTTAAGAATAATGAAAATAGGCCAGGGGGCCAGGTTCATGTGTGACCCTTTTTTGCTTCTAAGTTCCAGGCTCTCATACCGAGTCCATCCTGGGTTTAGAACTGGCATTACTGAACAGATAGCCATCCTGGCCCTGGTCCAGCTGAGGAGTTCCTGCTCTGGCCTTTTAGCTCCTGGGGAGATGCCCTCCCCCATACAAGATGAGGGCAAAAGAGGAAGCAGGACCCTGGACAGGAAAACCAGTCTGGCAGGGGAGGTAGCCCAGGCAGTCTTTGGTTTCTCTCCCTGGCCTTTTTCACAGATCCCTATAAGCCTCACCACTAATGGGTCTATACTGTATGGAGAATGGGGTCTTCAGTGGTCCAAGGCCTCCTTTATTATTATTATATTTTAAGATGATTAGGTATTCCTTTACTATATACCATAACCAAACCATCCAGTTGCCATCTAGTGAGTTCCAACTCATGGTGACCCCACGTGTGTCAGAATAGAGTGCACCATAGGGTTTTCTTTTTTTCATGTTGTTGAGAATATACAATATATACAGGAAAACATATACAAATTCAATGGTTTCTACCATTTAATGACAGGTACCAATTAGTGACAGTGATTACATTTTTTGACTTATACAACCATTCTCACTCTCCTTTTCTGAGGTGTTCCTCCTCCATTAACATAAATTCACGGCCAGGACCCCCTCTTCTTCCCAGTTCCCTAGCTACCACCATTACCTTTCATATCGTCTGGCTCTTGAGCGCCAAAAGGTCACACCAGCCACTCTGCCCTAACATTTTGCCAGAAGGCAATCTCCTATGTTCCAGATTCCCAATCAGGATTTGTAACAACTTCACATCAACCCCTTCTTTTCATGCCATGACCTTGACAGTATTTCTTTAGTCAAGACCGTAACAGCTATCTTCCAGGTTACAGCCAAACCCCACCACCCTTCTGAGATATTTCCACAATTAAGAGTCCTTCTACCCCTGTCATATTTTTCCAGCAATGATTTTCAAACCTCCAGTAGGGCTAAATCGGGACTGGGAGAACCAGTCTCATCCATCCTATCTTCACCCTCAGCGTCCTGTGTGTTGGTAACTTACATAAAATGCCAAACTCTTAGGTGTTTTTTTTTTTTTTTCTTTTTTAACTGAACCCTGATGCTGGGAAAGTGTCTTAAAAGCGATATGGTACAAAGCAAACTTTCAAAAGGCAGGGGACACCTTTTTTTTTAAGGCCCTTGGTCAGGGGGGAGGCAAGGGGTAAGGTCAGTGGTAGGAATAGCAGCTGAAGCCTGCATATCCTTCCTTGAGCTGGAATTTTATGCAAGGTCAGCCCCCTCCTTGGGATTTCCTCCTCGGCCAAACTCCCTGCATCTCGAGAAATGAGAATAGTAGAGACAGGTAAGTGAAAGGGTAGGGCTGGAAAGAGGAACAATTCATGGGAGAGGGACAACGTAAGAGGGTGGGATGGTGTGCTTGGAAATTCAAAAAAAGTACGATCTGCTCTCTTCTAGCTCTCTTTTTTATTGGATAGGAGTAGAGCAGACTGGAGGAGTTAGAGAGAAGCAGGATCCTTTAGCATACATCCCAAAAGCTTAAGGATAGAGATCTACAATGGGAACAAAAGGAGCTTACAGAGCCAGGCTAAACTAAAAGGAGTACAAATTCATGAAAGACAGGGAGTAGGATCGTAGGTGACAGGGGGAATTTTAAGCAAGAGAGGTCAGCAGAACTCCAGAGGGCTTCCTGGTCAGCAAGGTACTGTTATAGACTAGGGCATATAAGTACTCAGTCTGGACAGGTCCCGGAAGGCAGAAGGAAAGAGGAGCGGTCACTTTTGCCTCACATCCCTCTTCTTCTGAACAGAAACTAAAACAGCTAAGACAAGTCAGACCAGCTACAGTCTTTTCTTTAGAATCTTATCTTCGCTCCTTTTCTTTCCATCACACCCAGCTGACCAGGTCTCACTCTGCCCACCAGGTGGTGGTAGAACCAGGAGGGCTTGGAGCCAGGGACTCCATCTCCTGAGTAGACTGTCCCTTAACCTTCAGGACTGGCTTCTTGGTCAATCACTCTAGGGTCTGGGTAATTTTGATTTCCCATGGCCTCTCTTACCAGTCTTATTCCTATGTCACTCTACTCTGACCGCTCTGCCTGACTAACCACAAGCTCTTCCACTGCACACTGCCTTCATTCTGCTGGCTTCCCCTGCTCTGGGCCCTCGGAAGGTTGAGAGCAGTTATTTGGTGTGCACATACGTGTGTGTATGTATGTCGTCCCCCTGGCCACACACACACACAGGTTTTCCAGCCATTTACTCATCTTTATTACTAGAGGGGTTGCAGCATGCTTCTAGGGGCTGGGGAGGTTTGGAAAGGCTCTGAAACTCACAGAGTCTTTGACAGCAGATCCTGATCCCAAAGCTGGAGAGAACTGGCTGAAAGGGAAGATCACAGAGAGAGAGTGATAGGTTGAGAGATTATGAGAATAAGGGGAAATGGAAAGATACTCTGTTTGGGAGCCAGAAGCTAGGGAGGGAAGGGAAGGGAAGGGGTAAGCAGCAGGGGACTGAGATAGACAAAAGGGCAGAGTAGGTGAGGAGAGGTCAGGACTGTGTTTTGGAGGAGGGAAGCTGAAGATGAGAGTGATGGAAGGTTTGTAGGTGGAGACTAAAGAACAGATGAAGGGAGAGAGAATGAGAGTGTGTGTAGAACTCAGGGACTAATAATGGGTATAAACCTAGGAGATGGCTCCCAACTGTTCCCAGAAGGCCTGAGACCCTGATGTCTTGCAGAAGTCCTATTTTCTCCATTTCCTGAAAACAGTCCTGCTCTCAGTTATGCCACTTCGTCCAACTCTCAGTATCTCTGAATAAGAGTCCGTCCACATCCAGTCACAGGACAAGACCAAGCCTTTTCCTTCCTCAGATTACCCATCACTGAGCAAGGCCAGGCACTAATCAGCTGGGCACGGATGTTTGCTCCCTAAATACCTGTTGCCTGGCTCCAGAGGTGGAGAGGTTGGGCCTCAGAGAAACACACATACAGAAATGGACTGGGGTCTGCGGGGTTCCCTCCGGGTCCTTTCTGCCACAGCTCGAGCGAGTGAGTATGGGATGACCTCGCTCTTCCAGGGAGGGAGTTCTTTCTCTGCAGTCTCCGGGATTCGCGGGCCCCAGACATCGCCCTCCTCTCAACCACAGAAATGTCACATGTGAACGTTCAAGTAGAGGGAGCACCTTCTCCAGTCCAGAGACCCTCTCCCCTTACACACTTAGGCCACCCTCCTCCCCCGACAACTTCTGTGGGCACCCCAACCTCCGAGTCCCACATCTTAGCTCTGAGCTCTTCCACTTGAGAGATTTTTCTGGAGCATGAGATGCCGGCCTCAGGAGGCCCTCCCGGCTCCTGGGAGCCGGTACAGTTGCTGGGAACCCACCCTCACCAAGCTGCCGTTAGGCTCGCGGTGGCCGGGTCTCCGCCCCGCCCGGCCGGCCGCGCCCGCCCAACTTGGAGCGAGCCGAGAACCTCCCTCCCGCGGCCTCCCGCAAGCAAAGTTCCTGGGCCGGCGCCCGCGCCCAGTCCGAGACTGGCCGGGCTCCCCTCCCCCGGGTCCCCTGCCCGCTGGCCAGAGCCCTGCCTCACCTGGTGCCCTCCCCACCGCGGGGGAGCTGGGGGCGGCGGCAGCGGCTCCGGGCTCAAGA